TAAAATATTTATTTTTTAATTTTGGGCTGGAAAAGTGGGGGTCGTCTTGTACATGGGGGCGTCTTATTGTCGGAAAAATATGGTAAATATAACAGGGAGAGATTTCCTGGCTGGATCTAAGAAAGAGATGGGCAGTCTGTGGCCTGCCAGATGTAATATGCAGTTCCAGCTGGGCAAGGATGCTGGGAGTTCAGAAAGGCGTTCCCATCTTCCTACACACACCGTTCTTTCTTTAAAGCAGCCATCTGATCCTTCCTGAAGGTCAGGAAAATATCAGCTATTACATGCTGGTGATTAACATTCCTTTCCTGGAGAAGTGATAGAACAAGTGATTGCTAGGGAATTTTAGGTACCCTTGGATGAAATTATCTTCTACATGCATTTCCATCTGGCACATATGTACCGTAAGTATTCTGCTCTGACCACTGAGTTTTGATGAGATGGGCGAATGCAATCCTGTATGTTTTCTTGAGCTCTCAGTGGGCTTTGATACCATCCATTACTTGGGATAGGCTGTACAAGCTGGGTTTGGGTGAGGTTACTTCATGGGGCTTCTTTTTGGATGGTAAATTTCAGAAAGTGATGCTAGGGACTACTGCACAAAGCAGCAACCTCCCATTAGTTTTATGCCCCACAAAATCTATGCAGCCTATTTGGAGACCAAAGACATTATTAGTAATATCACTGACCTTCTGCACCATGCCAGCTTCCACATCCCTTTTTTCTTAATTTTTTTAATGGACTCAGATAAGGTCAAAGAACAATTGGGTCACTAGAAACTAAGACTTATGAAGAAAGAGTGAAGGAATCAGAAACGCTTAGCCCTGAGGAAGAGACAAGTGAGGCAAGTATACAGCACCCTTCAATAATCTGAAAGGAAGTCACAAAGGAGACAGTCAAATCTATCCTCTTTCACAGAGAGTGCAGGTCCCAGAATAATGGGTTTTAATCACAGGAAAGCAAATTCTGACTGAATGTTGGAAAAACTGAAGATAGGTTAATAAATGTATTATTCTGTCTGAAAGTCATTGATCTGAGCCAATTATTTCCCATCACTTATAAATCCAAGTCTGTTCACTAGAATGAATCTACTTCTCATTTTTTAGTGTGTGCTGAGACAGATTCACTATTGTCAAGATTTAAAGCTTCCCATACACATATGTAATGAATAGACATGATTCCAGATATAAAAAGCAACAAAGTGGGTAATTTTCTGAGATGGAGACCCTATAACTTATGTGTTGGTTTCTAGCACAATTTAAAAGCCTGATGCAATGGAAATGCTCTTTTGATACAACAATTACAAGGAGACAATAAGGAAAGTTAACTTCATATACTGATTTTGGCAAAGCTAACCAATACTTTGGCTGAATATTACCAATTCTTGTCACATCTTATATGAAAAAGTATTGTCATACTCCTATGCATTTATTATCTCATTTTTAAAACTATATATTAAAATATCCAAGTTCTATCATTAAATGTTCCTAGTGAATCTGTTAATTGCATCTTACATTTGTTTTGCAAAATGAAAGAAATGTTTGTTGGAAATCCTTCTGTGAAATGGAACAGGACCAGTTGTGGGGATCTGTCCCTCACCCCTCCCAAACAAAAGTGAACAGATAGCTGGGTCAGAAAGGGGGATATGAAGGAAGCATCAAGCCAAACACTAGGGCAAGATCTTATAACTGTCCAGAGGAGACACTGCTCTGTTTTGCAATAGACAATTTCATGTTTGATTCAATGTACACTTGACTTGATTAGATAAGCTGATGCAAAAATATGAGAGTATCTAACTAGAGACCCTAATTGGGGGGGGAGAGATCTCACTAGTAACAATGATTATCTTTTAGCCTACATATAAATCACAAGATGATGGAAACACAATCACAACTGGGTCTTCAAAATGAGTTCCAGATTTCAAATGATTGCCTTTCCCACAAGTAGAGGAATACATAACATGCAGAACAAAGGGGAGTCAGTATTTCTGTCATTCAACAATAGTTGTATTTTAAGAACTACACTTCAGAAGATATTATGTATTTCTCACATATTCTCACACATCACAGACACAATTTTCCCCAATAGCAAGACATCAAAAACACAAGATAAAAAAAAAAAGATAACAGTATCTAAAATTGTCTATCAGTGCATTGTAAACTAAGCTTTTGCACTACTCAAGTGCAATATTTTCTTTTCCCAAACCAACTATGTAGACGTTTTCAAAAGTTACACCTTTGGCAAAAAGAAAAACGTATCCGAAGGCTGCATTTCAATCCATCTTCTTCCTTCTAATGAGACACCAGGCCTTTTCTATATAAGCTCTATACAACAGCAAAATTCCACCGCTCTGGTCTTGGGTGCCATTTCACATCAAGGACTAAACACAGGAATTGCTTTGTTTCAGCCACAGGAACAATGATTTTATTGATATTACTATTCATCAAGTCCAATTTTGTTCTCTAAAAGCCACCTTCTTCCTGGTCTGTATGAGATAGCATCAGGAACGCTGGTCTTCTGCTGCCTCCCTGTGGCTTGTAGCTACATCAAATCAAAGGCTTCACTCATAACAAAGCTCCATGGCATTTTCAGGTTCCATTCAAGACACACACCTTGTGGAAGTTGAGAAATCCTAGCTTTTGACATTTCTTCAGCTGTTTATAGAATTCACAGTAGGCCGGAGTGGAGGGAATCCCAGAAACTCAGGTTGTTACATCTAGATGTTCTCCCAGAATCTAGCTATAACCTATCTTGCTGGAAAAAAACGATCCCTAAGGGTGGGTCTTCAGAACTCTCCATTTCATAGAACAGTGACTTCACGGCAAATGAAGCAATTGTTCCTTGGTTATCTGGGAGTTAAACTCTAAAATCTGCACTCCTATCTTAATGAAATACAATCACAAAGCCCACACTCACATCTTTCCAAACATATGAAAGAGCAAAATGGCGAAAAAAGCTTGTTGTTATAGCTTTACTGCTCTCCTTTCTTCACCAACTGATCTGTCACATAATCTGGCATACAGAAGGCAAAGTGCAATGAATTAGTATAACCATGCATGGTTAAGTGAAAAATATGACACACAAGTTTTATTAACAAAGGGCACTCGCTATGGCTTGTCCAATTCTATGAACGTCCTGAGTGGAAAAAAGTCCATTTGTATACATAGGCGTGTTGGCCTAGTTTTATAGAATTAGAAATCAATATATTGTTTATGACAAACTGACACACTGGATTTAAAAGCTCTTAAGGTCTCCATCACTTATGTCCTTCATTTATCTGTATCCTTCAATGGGCTTTAAGAAATTGCAATATCAAAGAAAAGGTTGCCTTTAAGAAAATATGCTAATTATAGAGATGAGTTGATTTAAAGTTGGAAGTTATCCAAGTTGATTCCTAACACTGAATTATAGAGAGAAAATCAAAATTGCTCCTCTAGTTCTCATGTAGGCAATTACAAAGATGTTATCACGAATAAATATCATCAAGTACCAGGTGCCAACTGTTGTATCTAGGCAGGCAGGGAACACAGAGTTACTGGTGCCGAGTTCTTCCTTAGTAAGGATGAATTATTCTGTAAGGTCTGGTGAAGCTGAAAAAGGGATGAATGGAACATTTCGGAGTTCTAGTCATTCCCCTAGACTGGGGAAGAGTGGATCAGAGCTGGACTAGGAATCTGTCTGTTTTTAAGTGCTGTGTGCAATATTAGCGCTTGATATCTTCCACATGTATGTGAAACAGCTCTGACATCCTGCAGAAGCCCAAGATTAGTCATACCGCCCTTTGATCATCATATTCAACAAGGGACCCACCTGCTCAAAGGAAAACAACAAAACACATTGCTCTATTATCCACAGATTTATTACCAGGCTAAAAGACATATTAAGTTGCAAAACGGTATGCTCAGACAGAAAAGAATGAACATATTTAATGTCAGCACAACATAACTAAACTATTTTAGGGGCTCACTCATTAAAATTCCTGCCAATTCTCCTCTCTCCTCAAATAACAGTAATTTTTTTTTAAGTAGTCCTCAATGATAACATTTGTTGAATGCCTAGAAACTTCTAAATATTTAATATTTAGAATATTCATCTTTTGTAAAACTGGTCAGCATACAGGTAGTCCTCACTTACCGACCACAATTGGGACTGGAAACTCCATCACTAAGCAATGCATCGTAAAGTGAAACAACACATGACATCAGTTCCAGCTGCAGTTGTTAAGCAAATCACTGTGGTCATTAAGTGTGACACCATGTGACCATGACTTGTAACTTCCTGCCAGCTTCCCCATTGACTTTGCTTGTCAGAAGCCAGCTGTGAATGTCTCAAATGGCAATCACGTGACCACAGGACACTGCAACCATCATAAATGCGCATCAGTTGTCAAGCATGTGAATCGCAATCACATGACTGCAAGGATGCTGTGACAGCCACAAGTTCAAGGACCAGTCCCTTTTTCAAAACTGTCTTAACTTTGAACAGTTGCTGAATGAATGGTTGGTAAGCGAGGACTACCTATATATTCCAAACACAGTGGAGAAAGGTATGCTAATGTAAATGCTAGATATCATAATTCTCTCAATCTTTGAACAATCACCTTACAAGCAAAGAAAATTGTGAACATAAAAATTAAGGTGGGACTTAATTTCATTTTAGCTATTCTTATACTTAGCTTGAAAGTTGTAGCTGGGCCAGAACACAAATTATCTGGATGTTGTATGAGGCATCTGCTTCAATTTATGATTCCTTGAGCCAAGTCAGACAGAAAATGCTGAGCATGGACTGTCTTGAACACCAAAATCCCTCTTAAAGACACGTGTAATACTACAATCTTCAGGAGAATTGCTGCTGGTAATCTGAAGATTACCTAAAGTATTTGCTATAGTAGCATCTAACATTTTGAATGCTCTATCCTAGTGTTTCTCAACCTTGGCAACCAGATGTGTGGACTTCAACTCCCAGAATTCTCTAGCCAGCATGCTGGCTGTGAAATTCTGAGAGTTGAAGTCCACATATCTTAAAGTTGTTGAGGTTGAGAAACCCTGCTCTATCCCACCTCACTCCACCACCTCCCCACCACCACCCATTTTCCCTTCCTAAGTGTTGTATGTTTTAAAGTTTTAAATCTGTAACGTCTTCAATTATTTGTTAAGCTATTACTTTACATTTTAATTTCATGAGATCAAAAGCTGAACAAGCTCAACCACTTGTTACTACAATCAGTTTGAGATTCACTCTTTACCTCTTGTGGATTTCCAAGGGCCTCCCCCAACATTTTCTCTATGTTCCTCATTACAGCCACTTTCTGATGAGCCTTTAGGGGGTATTCAATTCTTTTAGGGGTTGGGGCACCCTGTGGGGAGGGGAAAATACCTTCTTCAAACAAGAGTTCATTAAGTTGCAACATTTACAAAAGTGAAATTGAGAAGTATAAGGAAATGACTTCCAATTTTCTTTAACAACAGTTACAGACAATATAATTTTATAAAGTTATAGTTTTATATAGTTATAGACAATCAATCTTTCTTTCTTTCTTTCTTTCTTTCTTTCTTTCTTTCTTTCTTTCTTTCTTTCTTTCTTTCTTTCTTTCTTTCTTTCTTTCTTTCTTTCTTTCTTTCTTTCTTTCTTTCTTTCTTTCTTTCTTTCTTTCTTTCTTTCTTTCTTTCTTTCTTTCTTTCTTTCTTTCTTTCTTTCTTTCTTTCTTTCTTTCTTTCTTTCTTTCTTTCTTTCTTTCTTTCTTTCTTTCTTTCTTTCTTTCTTTCTTTCTTTCTTTCTTTCTTTCTTTCTTTCTTTCTTTCTTTCTTTCTTTCTTTCTTTCTTTCTTTCTTTCTTTCTTTCTTTCTGCACTTTTGGCTTTGTTCTCTCTTTTTTTCTTTATTTTCTTTTTTTCCTTTATTTTAAATATTAGTGCTTGTTAGTTTTTATCTTTCTTGTTAAAAAATTTAATGAAGTTATTACAAAAAAAGATGAAATTGAAAACAGATTCCTACAGGGACTCCCATTATCTGGACACTGTTATTCATATCCCTGGTTTTGGGGCATCAGGAAGATAAAAAGGAAACCGACGAGATCAACACGTTTACAACAATTCATACTGCTTGAAAAACTCACATACATCTAGCACTAATAAGCACGAAACTAATAAAAGTCGGGGATGAGAAAAGGTGAGCTGATATTTTTTTATCTGCCAAATAGCATTCATGATATAAAAAGAAGAGATGTTTAGGCAACTGACTGGTCAAAAATGCTATTTCTAATACCATCACTTACCATTTTTTTAAACAAGCATCTCTCTCTAAAGGGTGCCAATTTGGTGAAGAGGCATCAGACTAGAAACCAGGAAACTGTGAGTTCTCATCCTGCCTTAGACACAAACCTAGCTGTGTGACCTTGAGCCAATCACTCTCTCTCAGCCCTAGGAAGAAGCAGGCAAGGGCAACCTTGCCAAAAAAACTGCAGGGATTGTCCAGGCAGTCGCCAGGAGTCAACACTGACTCAAAAGCGCACACACACCACTCTCTAGAAAACCTAGGACTAAGAGTTCACTATTTCAACCTAAATATTGCAAGCTTCACCAAGGTAATCTCTAAGGTGATACTTAAGAAACCAAGTTAAGAATTCAAGTCAATTTTAGCAGCTGATGCAATTCTGACCATTTAAATAATCCTGGGAGAATAATGTATATATAAATTTTATGATGCAATAACATTATCAGTATCATATTGCACTGTATAATATTTGGCAATTAAAACACAACAGTTCATTTAGAAAACTTTATGCTGCTATTCAGTTAAATTCAGACATGCTTACCTTGTACCAAAAGTTTACAGTGATAGTAATTCCTCCATTCAGCAATGACTCAATGTGATGCCACCTGTATCAAGCCACAGGAGATAATTCTTTACAATTCCTAATTTTAAACCGTAGATTTCAGCATTTTCAGTATAAGTTTTATAGTAGTAAGCATCTTGTACAATAATTAAATTGTGATTTAGTTACTTTTATTCCTCATCATGTTGGGGAAGAAAACTATAGTTTATAATATTTTTTTCAGTTCTGAGTTACCCAATGAATAAATATCAACTTGTAAGCATATATTAATTAGAAAATAAAATTAGGGAATGCATCCCTCCATAAGTACGGAACAGACTAAGATCTCTTCAGATAGCATTAGTCTGAGTTAGAATTTTTACACAGAGCTAAAAGAAAACTCCATTTCTTCCAGTGGCTTACTGGATTCCTGCCAGCTAATTTCTTCTTAAATCCTGCAGAGAAAGCAGGTAGACAAAGATCAATAGCAGACTGAAATATTGAAACTAAGCCTCCTCCCAGGTTAAAGAGAGTCCTTTACTACATGATTGTGTTTTGTGAACCATTTGGGACAGACCAGTAGACAAAATTGTCTTAAAATCATGACATTGCTTGTACAATGGTCCCTAAGTAGCATCGTTCCCTGATGACTAAAGAGCAATATCCATATTCCTGCAAAAATTTCAGAATTAAATTACCACACTATACAGTCCTCACTTAACAACCACAATTGGAACCAGCAACTCTGTCTCTAAGCGATGCGGTCATTAAGCAAGATATCACATAACTGTGATGGACTTACGACCTCACTTCTGCCATGGTCATTAAGTGAGACATCAGATGACCACACCTTGCAATTTTACTGCCGGCTTCTCCATTGAATCTGCTTATCAGAAGCCAGTTGTGAAGTGCACAGATGGTGATCATGTGACCATGGTACACTATACAACAATCGTAAATGCCCACTGGTTGTGAAGTGGCCAAAACTCCATCACGCGACTGTGGTGTGGGGATGCTGTCACACTCATAAGTGCAAGGACCGGTCATAATATTACTTTTTTCAGCACTGTCATAACTTCAAATGGTCGCTAAACAGGGCAGGCATTAAACAAGGACCACCTGTACCTGTAAGTATAACCTTGATAATGGCCTAGACAATTGCTTCATTCAGTTGCTTTCCAAAAACTGTCACAGTGAAGGTTTATAAGAACATATAAGGACATGCCCCAAATTTAAATCTCATGACAGAAAAAAGGGACCAATATTTTCTGCTTATGAGCAAGTATCAAGGATTATTGCTATTCTTCTACGAAGCACCTTACACTGAAAAATATTTATCTATCCTAGCCAGTGAAAAAGAGGTCAGGCTCACAGCCTCTGACAGAACCCCCTGCATTGCCCAAATTGATTCTGCCACAGTCACCAATCATACTAGCCCATTCTACCCCATTCTCATCCTATGTGTATTACCAATACATGGGAATATAAAGCACATCGCCTGGGCCAACTACGGTCTCATAGCCAACTATGTTCTGGAAATTAGGAAACTTCTCATTGTCGGGATTGTCGAAGTCAACCTAGCAGGAAAGAAGAAGGAAGTCACTGGAGACAATATAATGATTCTCTCTGCTGCTTCCCACCCCAGTTACTTCAAGGAAAATGAACATCTATACAAACTTTAACTAGCAGGCGGGGACTAGAGACAAAAATCACCCATTTCAAAAGCACTGCACTCCACTTTCCACTAGTTACTGGTTATGTTGATTGTGCACAATTATACTCAGCATTCATATTTACTATTTAAGACATAATCAATCAATGCCTCTAAGCAAAGAAAAGCACAGAGCACATATAATAAAATCCCAGACATCTATAAGGCACTAACTTGGGAGGATTCTGCTATACAGATTAAAATCAAGATTAAATTCTGTCTTATTTAAGTAATCTAATAACCAAAGTAAATCATTCTTGAGATGTCTGAAACAAATTCAAACATTAAGCCTATGACAGTAGCAAGAAAGGACTATAAATCAGCACTGCTGACAGCTAATATTACTTCCTGGTAAAGTGTAAATTTGCTGGAGCTTGTTAAACTCCACAGGTTGGAGAACCAACTCAGAAAGACCAACGAAAGGATATAATGAACTGGAGAGCTTAAGTGGTGATTAACAATGATCTCACCAGCAGTATGGTGTAATGGAAGAGATTATCTATACAGTTGCTCTCAAATATCCTCTCCTTTATTGGAGAGTACCCTGATTACTGAGGAACCTGGATGCTGAAACAAACACAGCTACAACTAGAACACAGAAGCACAGCATCCACATCCATTGCACAAACTTTTTGAGTGGTTGGTGGAATCCTTAGATGCAAGCCTGGTGTGTCAACCTTGCTTGGCACTTCAAGAAGGCTCTTAACACTCTCCTTATTACAGTTCCAATAAAAGAGATGGAAACACTGGTGCATACATGGTGTCTCCCCTAATTTTATTAGTTCATCTGTATGTGCTCAATTTCAAGTGATCCAGACCAAGACTATGGACAAATTGCTTGGAAGCTGCAACTGCTTGCCTCAATGCTTAACTTTGACTTCAATGAATACCTGCAGGTGACTGCTGGGTGAATCTGAAGATGGTTGACTCCTCTACAACAGGAACTGGTATCATTAATATCCTGTTGGAGACAGGTTCTTGGAGAAGGTGGAGATAATTTATCTCCAAACACTTTTGGATGAAGCAAATTATCAGCAACTGGACCAAATCCCATCAGCCAAAACCAATACAGCCAACAGTTAAGGATGATGAAATGTATAAGGTGTTGATTTTAAATCAATAATATAATGATGAAATATACATATGATGGGGACAGATTTCACACTCCTGATCTAGATCTACTCCAGCTTTAATTTGAATTCCATGAGGGGGCTGGGACTCAATGGCCTAAACTGCCCCTTTCAAGCAAGCTGTATATACAGGTAGTCCTCATTTAGCACCTGCCTTGTTTAGCAACCATTCACAATTATGACAGTGATGAAAAAGTAACTTTACGACCAACCCTCACATTTACAACCTTCACAGGTCTGTAAAGCAAAGCTGAAGTAAGATCATAAGCATCATCAGTTTCACTTAGTGACTGTTTCGCTTAATGACAAAGTTGCCAGTCCCAACTGTGGTCGCTAAATGAGGACTACCTATATTCAGAGGTATCCATGAATATCTATTATCAGCTCCAACTGGAAGAGAGAAAGCAAAGGGAACCTGCTGCAGGGAAAGGAAATAAACGGAGTGGATTTCTGTTGAAAATTCTAGCTTCTACTTTCAGTTTCAAAAAACAGTATCTGTGAAACTATTATAGGGCCCATTTTTACTTCTCTGGAGAAAATATATCTAGCAGACGCAAATTTAGGGGAACAAGTAACCCTTCAATTCTGTATGAGGAACAGGTTGCCACTTACATGATGAAAAAGCAAGCTGCATATATATTCAGAGATTCTTTTACAGAATATACCTAATGACTGGTAAAAATAACGGCCCTGTTGGTCCAACACAGCTGACCCAGTCATTTCTTCCCAGAGTTAATTCATTTAACTTCTGGGCACTACAAGTGTACAATTCAGTATGACCAGGTCAGCTGGGAAACAGTTCTTTTTCGTAGCCCCTTCAGTTGCTGGAAATTGGGATGTTGTCACTTCCTGATCCCCCAACAAGCAACTTTACAAAGAAACCCCTGTTGGAAGGTCCAATTTGGAACTACTGCAGACAGAATGGGGGGAGCTTATCCAGCCCTCACTCTTTCTAGGACCCTCCCTGTGAATCTGTAGGAATCTACAGACAATAGCAACAGAGAACTTTTTTTTGCAGGAATTATCTACAATGCTGTCTCAAAAAGTAATTAACTGTTAGCTAATCTGTAGTAAACAGTTTGGATTACCCTTACAATTGGAAGGAGTTATTTTATCCCCAAACAGACTAATGCTTCCCTGTCCCCATTCCGACAAAGATTTAGCTGACAGCTTTAGTTGCTTGGATTAGGATATTCTTGTGATACATTAACTTTCCATGACTGAGTTAAGTGCATTGTGTAAACAAGGTCATTTGAAGACTATACATATCTAAGAATTTTAAAACAGACATCATGCCTTTAGACTCTTCCTCAGGCAGATGGTTAGAGGAAATGCAAAGGTATATAGGAATTCTGTAATAAACTAGCATTCCAAATTATACTTCATGGTCTTAGGCAAAAAAAGTTATTTGGCCTACTTGTCATCTCACCTGGCTCTGCCGGTCACATGGATGGTGCACGGGATAGGGATAAAGGCATTCAAACTGATCAGGTGAAAACAGAATACATCGTTTGTAACCTTTAATCTGAGCAAAGAAATTCTGCTGTTCATCATAGTGAGCTGGTGTCACATTCCCTGCATAAAGAAAGACCAAGGTAAACTTTTGAAATTATTTTGCAAAATGTAAGCTTTAATTTCCAGCAGGTCTATGCTACAAATTATGCACAAACTTCACCCCAGTTGTGGCTCCCCAGCATTGCATCTTACCTTATCCCCCAGTTTCCAGCACCCTGGCTGCACTTTTGAAACTGGGCCATTCTGCTACAAAATAGGGTGCTAAACGCATCACTGCAGGCTATTTTTTAATTATGGGGGATTTTGTGGGTGAAGACCTCTTACTCCTATTCCTACCTTCAAGCCTCTCAAAAGGAAGGAGAAGTTCCTTTATGGAGTTGGGAAGAAATATCAGCATCAGACTCACCACTTGGGACAGCTCCTAGAAAAACTGTGTGTTTGTTTGAGTGCTTCTGTCACCACTCCCAGGAGCTGCTGCCACCCAGGGCAAAATATGCAGCTCCCAGACCCAGCTAGGGGACAGAAAACTGTGCCTGCTCCTCAGAGGGCATCTGTTGCCACACCATAGGAGGTCAGGTGGCCTTCAGCAGGAGCTTCCTCCCAATCACCTTGTTTCCAGATGTGGGGAGGACTTCAGATATATTTTACAGATACACTTTTTGAAAGAGTCTCTTCCCAAAGAAAAGACATCCCCTTCAGTTATCATTTTTTCCCATATAGGTAGTCCTCGCTTAGCACCCACGATTGGGACCGACAACTCCATTGCTAAGCACTGTGGTCAGTAAGCCGAAAATCACATAACCGCAGTCATTAAGCAAGACATCACCTGACCGCAACTTGAGATTTTACTTCTGTGTTCTCCCTAATTCTACTTGTTGGAAGCCATTTGGGAAGCGTGTAAATGGTGATCACACGACTGTGAGACGCTGCAATGGTCATAAATGAGAGGACTGGTCTCAAAGCTGTTTTTTTACACCACTGTAACTTCAAACAGTCAGTAAACAAGGCAATTGGTAAGCGAGGACTACCGGTATAACAATACAGTAAAATGTCTTGAAATCAAGCTCTACTCCTAGTAACTTTATGTGACTTTTATGGGGAACAAAATGTCCCTGCCTTCTTCCAGGACTTTTTGTTTTTGAATTTCCAGTCTTGACTGCAACCTGTAGTATTTCTTCGTGCCTCCTAACCACGTCTGGCGCTGTTTGGCTTTTTCAGATCAAAATTGTCTCAGTGCTGCTATCTACCTAGGCTATTTATTATGCAGAAATTTAAACTATAAATCTGACATTAGCAATATGCTTATGCTCACAAACCACTAGACCACCTGACCTTCATTTTCAAAAATAATAATTTTAAAAAGGAACAGCATGTTCAAAGGTGCCTCTGTCCCCAGATTTTGTTAATATTTCTATGTATTTCTTCTTTCTGAAATTAACAAGCATAATTTTCTTTCATTTTAATGCTTTTTATATAATGTGCATATAACATATTTCATACTTTGGAAAACATTCATCATTTTCCTTTTTTTGGACTTCTTTTAATTTTTTTTCTTCAAAAGCATGTACATCCAAACAGCCTGGGATCATATCTGTTCATCACCACTTAATTTTCATCAAAATTTGCCTCTTGTCCTTTGTCAGCCCCCAACTTGATTGCAGCAATTAGTTTTGATGAAACACTTCTGGAGTTAACAGAAGAATCTTCCCCTTAGCTTAACTGCAATATGTTGAGACAATTATAGTTGGTAAGATTAAAATTGGGAAGAATTCAGTTCCTTAATACTGACATTTTGTCCACAGGAATTCCTCAACAGGTAGCTCTAAAGAACATTAAAACAAAACACAGTTACTTGTCCAAAGAGGCAGTTTTGTTACCTTCCATGCCAATCAGTAGCAAGTTGGATGTCAGCTGACCCCAGCCTCGCTTTGCCTGCTGTCTGTTAATCCAATTCCAATTAAAGCCCAGGAAATCTACCACAATTTTCCTCCCAACTGTGTCATTTAAGGTCTGCTGGAGATATAACCTGTATGCACCAGAAAGTAAGGAAAAAAGAAATGCAAATGTGTGTGCAAAGCTATAACCAACTAGCTCTTTCATTATCCTTCAAAGCCTGTATCAATTGCATACTTCTTATAGAAACTGTGAGGAAAATACATTTTTAGGTGAAGAAAGTAAGTTTTCAGAGTCTTCAGATGAATGGGAGCATTTAAACAAAACTGAAACATAAAAGAATGTGTAGCAGACTTGGAGCTGGTGTGAATGGGCTGGTTGTAAAGACCTTATCAAAACATTCCCATAGCAACCAAGGCATCTGTCTTGAAGGAGGATGTGTTCTTCCTGGCATTTGGCACCCTGAATTGATAAGTTTCTTCTTCTCCTCAGTAAGACTGTTTTCTTTGTAGATAGCAAGAGGGGCAGAAAGTAACTTGAGATCTATTACTTACTCATGTATGCCTGAATCATCATATGAATATGTATGTATGCATCATTTTTCCCTTTCCTGAAATGTATAAAATATCAGTGCATCTCTTTTGTTTGAAGGGGTGTGTCTCACTATCCCTTGGTGAAGTCCCCTCCAGTACATACTGTTTAATAAACACTGCAGTGAAGCCTTGATTTTTTGCTTTTGGGTCCTGCATTCTGATTCCACAAAATCAAACAACCTAACTTACAGAGCTGGAAAAAGAATTGTCATGAGGATTACATTACCAAAAAAATGACTAGTGGTCCTTTGAAAAAGAACAAAACATTATGTTACTAGGTTCCTGATTAACTGATCATTCTTAGATGACCCTAATTTTCTGGACTTCACTGAAATGGCTTTGGTCGCTAGGATGCAGAAATTATGCTGATCAGAAGTCCAGGGAATTCAACCTGGTAATTCTTCTGGACTTCTCCCAGCTTTCAGTATCACTAATCTATACTGGGCAAAGCAGTGCCAAGAGATAACAGGATTTTTTATCTGCTAAGCCCATCTCCCAACTGAAAAAAATTGCTCTGATTTAAAAAAAACAAAAACTAAATAATGTTTACCTTCAGCAGCAGGAAAGCAACAGAGTTCTGGGCCTACAGAGCAGTGTCACTGCCTCCTCCTCTGCCACCACATGAGTGCAGAATATTCCTCAGAAAGAAAAGATAGAGGACAGGAAGGAACAGCATACAACCAGAGGTCTGCTGCCTTCCAATCTGTCAAAACTGAAACATAAGAAAGGAAACAAGTATGCTTTTACAGCTGGGTAATTTTGCAGGATTTGGAATGGCAGTGCAGAGACACCTGACAGATGAAAAGGTTATAGAAAATTTATCTGCACTTGGAATATCAAGGATCAGTACATGGTAGAAAGCAACTACCAGGATAGTAAACAGCACTGGGAAAACAGTGTGATGTATTATTAGAAGGATGTGTTTATGTGGGTGTACATTTCACTGTGCTCATACAACCCAATCAGGTTAGATAAAGATATAGCAGGTGCACTAAGCCTGATTAGTGTTAATTTGTGTTAGAGTTGGGAGGAGGGGAGGGGGTTTTTTTGTGTGTGTATGGGTGATGACTTAGCATGTTGCATGAACTCAGACTATTTGGTTAATTTATGGCCTAGTGTATTATGCACTACATCAGATTGTTGTGTGAACACACCACTGTCCTTTTTTGAAGAAATGTTCATAAGAGCGTGAAAAGGTCTAGGACCACATTATAGTTACTAACATCTGCTATGAAACATAATGCAATAAAAAGTCAATCACAAAATGAATAGTAATAGGAATACGCCCATAGATATAACATCTAGTGAGTAAACAAACTACTCCAATTTGACTCACTGCACATAGAATAACCTTCTTATAGGATAGACAGATTAGAATGTAAACAATGGCAAAACAGCCATGCATCACAAAGCATGGATAATATGAAAGAAAAATAGTATGATGCCATTACAAATTTTCTTTTTCTCTGTTAAACAAGCTCCTTCTTCAATGAAATAAGCTATGTATAAATAGCACAAAATGTTCCTTTTCACTGTACGTGAATGTTATTTCCTTCAATGAAATAAATGTTATGAAATGCCCAGATTCAAGGTTCATTTTGTGAAGGGCTTCCTCAAAAATTAAATTTTAGTAATTCAAATTGCTCTCTTCTCCAGTATTTCAGTTGAGCCTGAAAAATACTATCACGTCCACTCCCTTATCTCGTTTCATTTAGAACTTCTTGCCTTTTTAAATTCCAAGCTACATTTGTTTTCTTTATAAGAGATTTGGGAACTTCAGCTTGCTTTACTTCCCAATGATTCAGGCACAGTACCCACACCATTTCTCTGGTTTGCAAAAGGTTCAAAACTGGTAACACTGACCATAAGGTCCTTATGGTTCAGTTATTTGAGGCTGCATCGGCAGCAGTGCGTTGGGCGGGTTGCTTTCCTCGCTGGAAAGCTAGTCCCTAAGAGTACTCAGGAATGCTACTGCACTGTGCCATACACCAACCCTAATAAAGCCAGAAGCACATCCCGCCTTAGCTTCTCGTCCCCGACCGTCAGGTGACCAGCAGGCCTTAGTGTTACCTTTCTCCGCTTCCCTGCTGCTCGATTTCCTGGAGCTGCGCCACAAAATCCCTGAACTTCATCTCCTCTCTGCTGGACTTCGGTTTGAAGTTCTTCACGTTTGCCATCTTCTTCTCATCGTAGTACAGAAACTTGTGGGTGCTGGCTCGGTACACCGAAAAGTCCCCGCTCCCAATGTTCTCCTGAAGGTAATCCAGGTCCCACTTCAGGGCGGGATAGACCAGATTGGTGTCGGTGAGCACCACCGGCTCCTGGAAGCAAACACAGAGCGGAGGTCACGCAAGAGCCCGCGGAAAGGCGCGGAGGGAGGGCACGCCGAAGCAACGCGGCCCCCCGGCACCAGCCTCGCGCGACGGGGAGGCGGCTCGAGCCCCCCAGCCCCGAGGAGCGTCCCCCGTCACCTCGTTCTCCAGCAGCTCCTCGGCGCGAGGGTCCCCGTGGCGCAGCCGGGCGATGGGCCGCGTCGCGAAGCTATAGTGCCGGAACTGCGCCTCGCTCCACCCGCGCGGCTCCTCTGCCCCCGCCGCCGCCTGCGGAGACGAGGGAGCCTCCACGGCCGCGGAGCGAGACGCGGAGGGAGCGTCCCCCTTCCCCTCC